GCACTTCTCCCCGGCTGCCCGTGATGGTTGCACTTGCAGTATCCTGCCTGGGCTCTGGCCTCTGCTCTGTCCTCCCTCTTGCTCTGTCTGCCCAATTTTGGACAAGTGTTGAGGCTTCTTCGTCTGGCTCAGTGTCTTCAACAAAGATCACTTCCCAGTCTATCAGGGACAAACTTCGTGGGGGTCCATTTCATGATTGCTACCCTCTGCAAACCTATTTCTGGTTGATTGGGCAGGTGTGATGATCCTGGAGCTCGGGGCTTCCATACCTGTCTGGGCGGGGAAGCTCCCTTGGTCTCCATGTCCCAACTGCTGGCTGCGTGGTCGGTCCAGGAAGAGCGGGAGAGGACACCAGCGTGACTCACCTTTGCCTTCTAGAAAAGGCGGTGTTGTATCCCACCTACACTTTCTGTCTCATTCCTGAGGGCCATCCAGTTCCTCTGCTCCTGAGGAAAGTGCCTGCAAGCACTGAATCTTTTTGCTGCCATGGATGTCAGGGGACCAAAGGATTGGGTTTTGCTGGGTGCAAGGGAGGTGGCGTCAGGGTACGTCCATCAGTGTCCGTCTGGGCATCGCCCCCTATGGCCTCAAAGACACACGCTCACTCTATCTGCTCTTGGGGGACGTCAGTGCCACGTGTGGTCACATTGCCTCCATCTCGGACTCGCCTGTCTCTCTTTGCACATACGGCAGAAAGGAGTGTTGTGATGCGGAGTACCCGGGCCTTGGAGATTAAGGCAGGAGTCCACTGCTCCACCCAGGAAGGAGGGAGGCAGTGGGCTCACGGACCAGTGCATTTTCGGCGGACAGTACGCCCTGCGGCCCTTGGGATCTTTCTGTGCCCCAGCGAGACCCTTCCCACCTCACTACACTGTAACCCCATTCCTGATCACCCGGTCGGATCCATAATTGGATCTGAAAAGAAGTCTGGAGAGGCCAGCCGGCACCCTGAAGCTCCTCCTCCACCGGGAACCGAAGCAGAAGACCGATGGAGAAGGTCCTGAGAACAGGACTCCTATGGGTCCGATGCTGGGTCTCCCGTAGGCCCCTCTCATGGTCCTCTTCCCACCCGCCGCCTCAGACTGCACAGCCGCCGCTATCAGGGCTGCCCCTATCAGGGCTGCCCCAGTCCCCGAATCCGCCTCGTCGCCGCCATTTTTTTTTTTTTTTTTTTTTTTTTTTTTGAGTCTCGCTCTGTCGCCCAGGCTGGAGTGCAGTGGCACGATCTCGGCTCACTGCAAGCTCCGCCTCCCAGGTTATGCCATTCTCCCGCCTCAGCCTCCGGAGTAGCTGGGACTACAGGTGCCCACCACCAGGCCCGGCTAATTTTTTTGTATTTTTAGTAGAGACGGGGTTTCACCATGTTAGCCAGGATGGTCTGGATCTCCTGACCTCATGATCTGCCGGCCTCAGCCTCCCAAAGTGCTGGGATTACAGGCACCTGCCACCAGGCCCAGCTAATTTTTGTATTTGTAGTAGAGACAGGGTCTCGTCATGTTGGCCAGGCTGGTCTTGAACTCCTGACCTTGGGTGATCCACCCCCCCCCTCGGCCTCCCAAAGTGCTGGGATTACAGGCGTGAGCCATTGCGCCCAGCAACACAGATTTTGAGAGGACGGGAATGGGACGTGGCAAGGATCTCTGAGTGTGCAGGCTGTGTTTCACATATCATTAAACATAGTCTAGTGAGTGTTCTGCAGATAGCTGGCACTTAAGTTTGTTTTACTGAATCAAGGAAAAGAAAAAATGCTGAGAAAAAAATGATACAACTTGCCTGCCAGTCCATCTGATTGTTACAAACTTAATAGTAATTTTAATTTATCCTCTCATGTAAAGGTCCTTGGCAGTGATACCTAATTTCCTAAGATAGCCTTGCTTTATTTTGTATGATAAAGCTGTCATGCATATCAGAGTATCTGGAAATTCTTCCCAACACCCTTGACATATGTAATCAATACATTCCCAAAATAATATACCAAACCAAACGACAGAAAATAATTTGTTACTTAGTTCCTTCAAATTTGTTTATTTCAGTTGTGGTTCCTTCATGCAGGAAACATTTCATGTGTGTCTGGCACTCTTCCAGTCAGAGATTTCATCTTAAACAACCTAAGTATTGAAATGCTTGTGCCTTTTGATTAATTTTTCCTACATAAATACTTTTGATAAAGAGCTACACTGAGGGCAGGTACAGTGGCTCACACCTGTAATCCCAGCTCTTTGGGAGGCTGAGGCGGGAGGACCAGGAGGTCAGGAGATCCAAGACCATCCTGGCCAACATGGTAAAACCCTGTCTCTTCAAAAATACAAAGAATTAGCCAGGCAAGGACAAGCGCTGGCTCGTGCCTGTAATCTCAGCACTTTGGGAGGCTGAGGCAGATGGATCACATGAGGTTAGGAGTTCGAGATCAGCCTGGCCAACATGTTGAAACCTTGGCTATACCAAAAATACAAAAATTAGACCCAGAAGGTCATATCCGAATGAGAAAGGCATTGTTTGGCTCAAATTGTCTGACACTAAGGAACAGTGCAGACTGGCCAAGTGAGGTGGCTCACACCTGTAATCCCAGCACTTTGGGAGGCCGAGGCGGGTGGATCACCTGAGGTCAGAAGATCAACACCAGCCTGACCAACATGGTGAAACTCCATCTCCACTAAAAAAAAAAATTACAAGAAAATTAATCAGGCGTGCTGGCACATGCCTGTAAATCCTAGCTATTCAGGAGGCTAAGGCAGGAGAATCACTTGAACCCAGGTGGCGGAGGTTGCAGTGAGCAGAGATCATGCCATCACACTCTAGCCTGGGCAACAAGAGCAAAACTGTATCTCAAAAAAACAAGAATAGTGCAGAGTTAAAGCAGATTTATTTTCCAAGAAGCAGGGAACCTGGAATTTTGGGTGAAATGTCCCAATTGCCAGAAGCTGAAAATGCTCTCAAATGTAAAATTCAGGTCAGACTATATCAAGCTTCTCCTTGTTCTATGTGTGAATAGCTAGTCTGTATCTTCACCTATGCATATTTAAAAATCAACCTTAAGAAGGCCCTTGGCCACCATAATCCTTCCACACTAGCAAGAGCCCAGCCTCTGAGACTAGGCGTCCTTCCGCCTCCCACTGGAATGCCTTCCCCCGAATCTCCAAGGTAACAAACTGGTCGGGGCTGCTGAGACAGCCCTACTTCTGGGAGTCCTCCCCAACCACTTGAAATCACAGGCATCTCTGCTGTCCCTGCCTTTCATCCACATCACTGAACAATTAAGTGCACATGTCTCAGTACTTTTATTTAAACCATTCCTTGTGTGTTTACAATTAACTACTTCATGAATGACTGCGGTATGGATGGAGCAGAAAGGAATGCTGAGGGAGGACCCCTGTTCGAATGAGCCGCTCTTCCAGAACTAGGAATGAACTTTCCCCAGTACCAACAAGGCAGCCTCCAGGGCAAGAAAAGGTAACGGGATCCATCCTGCTGACATCCAAGAAGAATTACAGGTAACTCTCACCTCTTTTTTGACTCTCAGGTGGAAACCCCCTCCCCACGAGGTGAAGCGGAGTCCGCTCCAGAGCCCCGAAGTTGGGGTCGGGGATGTCACAGAAATCACCAGGGCAGCCAATTCCCATCCACAGGGGACCCAGGATGACCCAGCACCCTCAAGCTCAGCCCCAAGCTCGGGCCAGGGAGTGAAGCCCTTGTCCCCAAGCCACAGAGTGAGGGTTTGTCTCTAACCCTGTGGGCTCCAGTGAAAGGAAAATGGCCTGCAGGTGCCCACAGGAGAGCACCCGAGTTCTGAGACAGATCTATGGCTCCCAGCCTGAGTTCCCGTGAGTAACACAGGGACGCACAGAGGGGCATGCTGCCTGCCTATAGGGCACTCACCGAATGCGGGTGCACGCTGCGAATCCTGAAGCCGGTCAGGTAACGAGGTGCAGAGGTGTGGGAAACACCTGGAGGGAGGCCTCCCTGGGGGCCAACTAGCCTAACCAGCCGGGACCAGCGACCAGAAGTGCTTCTGACGTTAACGCGACACACGGAAGGTGCGTAGGGTACGTAATGGAAGTGACCGCAGAGGCCTCTGGGTATTGTAGTTTTGGAGCTAGAGAGGCGGGCAAGCAGTTGGCTTTGCCCACACAGGGTGCCTCTGACATCTGCACAGCGCACACAGCCGAGTTTAAGAGCCCACTGTTAAGATGCCCAAGTGACGTTGACAAGTTTCTCCTCTGCGAGCCAATGAGATCTGATGACTGCGAGAGCATCATGGGACCGCCAAAGGATTCTGGAAAATGCGGTCCCGGGTGGCCAGTGTGCGCTGACCTTCACCTGCAGGTGAGCTGAGCTCACCACGCAAGTCTCTGCCCTGGTGCACCCTTCCCCAAGCAGATGCCAGGTTGGGACAGAAGTGGCTCAGGGAGAGGCAATACTCTCTCGGAACTCCCGGTTTGGGGGCGACACTAACCCTGTGTCCCCTAGAGTAGGACAGTGTACCAGGACAGGGAACCCCCAGACTGTTCTCAGGGAGAGCAACATTGTCTCGGGGCAAACTCCTGGAATGAAGATGGGGAGAGTCTGGTCACGTTTCCCCAGGATTTTAGAGGACTTAGGCTGGACTTGGGTGAACAGCAGAAGATCCCCTGGTGATAGTGGTGGTGAGAATTGGAGGCTTGAGCCAAAAATTCCCGAGGTTTTTGTTTTGTTTTGTTTTGTTTTGTTTTGTTTTGTTTTGTTTT